TTGGTAACGTGGAACTAGGGTTTCTCTGAAAAAAAAGAAAATAGTAAAGCTAGGCCTCAGGTCTGGCGGTTTCGCCATGTCCAAGTCGGATAATGTTTTTTTTCTGGGGATCCGGTTTGTATTTCTGGATTAGAACCCAAGTTCTGTAAAATCGGTATTCTGTAAATCGGTATTCTGTAAATCGGCAGTCTGTAAATCGGCATTCTGTAAATCGGCATTTTGTAAATCGGTATTTTGTAAAATCGGCATTCTGTAAATCGGCATTCTGTAAATCGGCATTCTGTGAATCGGCATTATCAGCCTATTTTAGCCGGAAATGTTCAGAAATGCTGGGAATATACCTTGTTAGCCTTATTTAAGTGTATTGGCGTACAAACTGTACGTAAGCGTCAAAGAAATTGAGCTCCACTAAGTAAAACAGACTTTTTCTATTGAACCAAAGATGTAACTGGTTGTATGCTGCTTTATGAATAAATTCTCGTTACATACTATACCTAAATCGGTTGTGCAAGCCTATAGACGATTAACGGACTTGATCTAACACGTTTTTGTGACTCCGGAAAAATTAAATGATGGCATATGCTGGTTTGGTAAAAATGTACCCAAAATGTCGGGCTGGCCCGGCCGGCCCGGGCCGCGGGCCGAAAAATTGGCTGGTGGGCCGGCCTGGCCGGGCCGGGCCGGGCCGAGAAAAATGGGCTGGCGGGCCGGCCCGGGCCGGCCCATTCCCAGGCCTGCACCACCCCAACGAAAATTTACAACGTGGAATAAAAGCGATTTTAACATTTTATCAGGAACAAGATCGGTACGAAGGTATACAACGGCCATTGCACCATTTCCACAATGCTGGATCCGCACGACTGGAGACATACCATTTCGCTTCTAATATTTGGTTCAGTTTCGAAATTCTTGCAGACCTGCCGCGTCAACAGCGTACCCACGCACCACCTGTTCACGCCCTCACGGACGCAGCGTTGGTCTGGACCGTCGCATTCTGGGCACTGAAAGTCATAGCTGGGTGAAGAGGAAGCCTTGCAACGCCTTGAAAAACGTAAAAATACTGACAGCCGGAATCCCTAGATGCAAACCCCGACATCCGAAATATTGACAGCCAAAATGCAGACACCAAAATTCTACCAGACAAATTTCGACAAGCAAGATGGCCGTAAAAAGCAAGTGGCATCCAGATCATGTCCGTCGCGTCAAAACTACGCCGAGATTTTGACTGTCGGCATTTTGGCTATCGGGGTTTTAACTTTTTCGATTTTGACTGTCCCGTTCGGGTCGTCGCGATTATGAATAAATTCCCAAGCCTCCGCCAAGCTTCTTTTAAAAGCTTCTTCAAAGATCTCTCGAAAACGCTACCTTTCCAAATTGTCGCGGATAAATATCGACAACCAAAAAGGCGATAAGAAGCCAGAATATCATCATTTTTCCAGAGTTTATCGTTGTTTCCCTTTATACGGATGTATGGTGTAGAGGGCGAGGCGCAAAAGCATCAATATTGAAAAGCTATGTAAGTTTTTATGCATTAGTTGTGGGGGAACGGGAGCAAAGTTCGAGGCAGAAGAATGGAATATGCATGAACAGGAAGCCGTCGGTCGAGCTCGTTATGGGACCGATTTTCGGGCTTTGAACGTTTTTGCAGAAAAGAATACCAGTTTTTCTTTCGAGGTATCTGGTTAATCAGCTTTCTAAACTTAATTTCTCGTCGAAAAATATTCCTTTATTAATTCAATAACGGAAGACGACGACTGTGACTTATGTAAGCACAGATAAATACCGAAATGTTTTTGCGTCGAATGGTGTATTTTTGTAGGGTCCTGGCTCTTCCTACTACGCATTTAATGCACGCAAAACATCGCAAAAACAGGAACAGTGATCAAAGAAGCTGAAGCCACTTCTGCTGTGTAAAAAGCTTTATTCCACCGGACGGGTTCCTATCGACGATCCTCCAGCGTGGGACAGCGCGACAAGCCGGGGATACAAACTCCACTCACGGCAGAACTGCCACTCTGGCCGCGTGCATGTGCTGGGAGTTTTGGGCGCGACGCGAGGCAGTTTCGTTTCTAAGCCTCCCAAGTGATAGATTGAAGGACTTACCGTAATTCCTCTAATGTAGTCCCCTAATATAACGCCTCAAAAATTTTTTCAAAGTTATCTTAAGAATTGAAAAAACGCCAAAAAAAGGTCTAGGTTTAAGCTTCGTACTGTGTTCCTGAGTGGTTGTGCGCGGTTTGAACCGGCAGAAATTGTTGAAATTTCTCACAATTATGAAAAATATATCGCTATTTATCAGGTTGGATAATAAGTTCTGTCACAATTTTTTGGAATAGCTTGTTACAGCTGCAGACATGCCCAAATTACTAGTGGGATATATGGTTTGATAGGTATTCTCGAGCTCTACTTTGTGTAGACCCTACTCGCACCCAAAAATTGAGAGTCGCCAAGATAAAGCTTCGAGAAGTTTTCCGCAAAACGTACCAAACCGATTTTGCAAGCTATCTCTGCATACAGCAATTTGCATGTGATACCTTTAACACCAATCGATAGCTCTCGAGGAGTAGATATCGATAGATGTTGAGATCATCAAAATCGGACATCAGATGGCCGAGATACGACCCTTGAAGTTTGGCCCATTTCTTAGAACTTTCCCAAAATCCCATACATTTGGTCAAAATGCGCTCGGTTCTTTTGAAAATTAAGCGGTCAGTTTTGGCGGCGGGCTATCAAATGTATGGGATTTTGGGAAAAGTTCTAAGAAATGGGCCAAATTTCAAGGGGTCGTATCTCGGCCATCCGATGTCCGATTTTGATGATCTAAACATCTATCAATATCTACTCCTTGAGAGCTATCGATTAGTGTTGAAGGTATCGCATGCGAATTACTGTATGCAGAGATAACTCGCTAACACGCTTTTGCGTCATTTGCGAAAACCTTCTCGGGCCTGTATCTCGACATCCCTCAATTTTTTGGTCAGCTGATGGTCCTCCCAGAATAGAGTGTTGTGAGACCTATCAAACCATACCTCATACTCAAGAATCGGGAACATCTGCGATTTTAACGAGCGATTTCAAAAAATTGTGACAGAACTTATTATCCAACCTGATAATAAACACCTCCGTTGAGGTGATAGAAAACATGTAGTCTCGGGGTTAGATTAGAGGAATTACGGTAATACCTACTTTCCTCAGCGGTGGCGCATCTACGCAAGTGCTCCGACGCCTCGATTCACGACACACATCTGTTTATCACGATCGCAGCGGTCGCACTGTAAAATTATAAAATACAACGTCTGTTTCGGCGTCGACATGTCGACATTTCATGTAGTCCCTCCTTAAAAAAATTTTTTGAACCGGATTTTACTCCTTTATTTCACTTTTTGATCGTCAGCTATCAGCCACGCGGACACGGAGAGTGGATCCGGATGCAGGTATCGTGACACCTAACATTTGGCAGCACGCACTGCACCGGCGGTTTGATCAGGGCGTTCCGCTTCTAGATCCTTCAAGTTTTTTAGGCAAATTCATCTTATGACACCTTCCTGCTCAGAAGAGGATCACCACAGGACGTTTGACCATTTTCTAAGACGCACTGCCTCCCCGATCCCGTACATAGTGAGCACTGGAGGGAAAAACGGTTATGGCGCTGTTCAATGATATAACTAGTACGTTAACATTTGTGTGATAACGAGCAATCATAATTCAAATGCTAAGAGCTTACAATGTACTCATCTTTACGAGTTTCGGCTGCAGCGATGATCAGGCAAAGCATGAAAACGAAGAACATCACGCCAAGCTGGAATTTTCAAAGTGCGGTGGTTTTTATAAATCCGGAAAGAAAAATCAACATTATATACAGCTGGCAAACCGCGCCAAACGGCTATAAAACGAAAAATATTGTGCCGTGTTGTGAGAAACGATCGGGAATTTCCGGACCATGGAAAAAAATCAGACACCCTGAATTGTCAGGGTCAAAGCAGGAATCGATAGCCAACTGAATTCTAAGCATCAATGATCGGAAGAATTTGTACAATTTATCGCTTGAAAGATGGTGGACTCAGATCATACAATAATTTTTGATTTAACGGAAGAGTTGATTTTTGAGCACTTCTGCAGCTCCTCAGCGTCTTCGAGCTTCTTCGTTAGCTCCACTCCGCGGTTAGACCAATTTTTCGAATCGATGATGTAGGCCAGGGATGTAGCTCTTCCTGCCACTTTCCGGGCTGTTAGATCAAAGGGTAAGCCGAGAGGCTTCTGTCAGCACTTCTGAGACCCCCGCTTCTGATCTGAATTCATGGAGAATAGAAAGGAGATTTTCTAAAAAGTCAGCAGCCCAGACTGTTGAGTGGGTTTTCCAAATGCTCCTCACGCTGGTTTTTCTGCTATTTCTGGCATGCTTCGACACATATTCGGCTCTTTCCTTTCGGGCCCCACCAGCGCCCCTGAGACTGAGAGATGTAAGCGTTGCCTTTTTGGGCGAACTACATCCTGAAACCGGCGGCTTTGGTGATGATTAGATCCAAAGTCTTATTTCCAGGCTCGGCTCCGCCGTCAAACGCTGTGCGTCTGGGACGGGTACAGTGACTGCTGGGGTGTCTGCATCAAACCAGGCGTCGTTTGCCCGGCCTTTCCCTTCCGCTGAAGACCAGATCTATTCAATAAACTTGTGAAACTTGAAAGACACTAGAAAATGCTAGAATCGTTTTCTTCAATCTGACGGCTCATGGTGGCTACGGCACACAACAAACGAAGAAAAACAAAACATAAATAACGAACCTCTATAAAACAACGAAGAAATGGATTCGGGTTAGCTTTAGAGCATCGCGTGGTTGTCAAAACCTACCGCAACGCGTCTGTTTAGCCTTATGCTTACGCCTAGACGTATCCGTAGGATAAAATTGTGTAAGCGATCTCGAGAACTGCTTCAAAAAATAGCATTACGATTTTTCCCAGAAATTTTAAGCAATTTTTTTTACATTTGCGGTCAGCACGGATCAGCCACGCGGACACGGCGAATGGATCCGGATGCAGGTATCGTGACATCTGACATTGGGAAGAACACAGCGGACCGGCGGCTTGACCAGCGCGTTCCGCTTCTGAATTTACATTCTTCCAGGGAACTCAGTATCAGAAATACCTTCCTGTCCTGTGGCCAGAGAGGCCCGCCGCAGTACGGAGTACGGCCATCCGGCTCGATGCATTCGCTCCCTGACCGGGTACAGATAGCGCACTAGAACAAAACGTTTAGGTATACATTTTTATCGCCAATAGCGTTTTTTAATGTTTTTTTTACAACAAGAAATTTCATTTTTTGCTTTGTCAAAGCCGTGTCGCTAACTCAAAGAACTTACTATATCATCATCTCCTTGAGCTTCAACAGCCAGGGTGGCGAGGCAAAGCAGCAAGACCAACAACATGACTCTCAAGATCGCGTCCGAGGTCCTGGTTTTTATAGATTTAGAAAACATAAATTCAAAATTATATAAATCGAAAGATCTGATGTGAGAAATTCGGGTTGATGTGGGAAATTTTTATGCAAAGGATGCAAGGGAAACACATTTTTGATTTTTTTGAGGGGAAACAAAGATCACGAATTTTTCAGTATTTTGCATTTTTTGAGGATGTTTTTGGTGATATCTGTTGCGCTTTGATCAATCTTTGAAGCACAGAAATCTCTTGGACGAAACGAAAAACCGAGTGATAATCTTTGAAGTATCTTTGAAATAGTTTGTACAATTTATGAGGACATGAACGTTAAATTTTGTGCGTTACGGTAGTAGTTGGCAATTTTCCGATTGTACGTGACGGTACTCAGCCCATTCAACGCCTCCGAGCGTCTTCTTTAACTCCGCTCGGCGGCTTGACCAATTTTTCGAGGAGGTGATGCGGGCCAGGAAGTAGCTGAACCAACAAAAAAATTACAAAATTTAACGAATTAAGGAATAATACTTTTCATAAATGCACTAAATTCAGGTATCAAGTCTGAAAAACACAATTTTTTGTCCACTACCGGGTCATCCTGACAAAGATAGGAGCCGTCCCACATCTTCATACAAGACTCGCCTTCGCCGCATTTTTTCGAAGCACTAAATAATTTTTTCATTAAAGTCAGATAATTTTTATACCCTCGGATCCTTGGTGATTTGGCCATATGCCAAGTTTATGATCAGAAAAGGAATACAAGGAGTTTTGCCAGCATCTCCGGGAAAGCTTTTAGGGGCGTAGAAAGTGCTGTTTCGCCTGGCAACTCCGGTTTTATACAAACCAACCCTTGACAATTGGAATCCGACGTTTCCGAGTGCGCCCCCGCCCCATTTCGCCCATAAGCGGCGCGTCATCGCCGGCGCGCTGTTTTGGCTGAATCTCGATGTATTTGCGGGGTTTTTTATTGCAAGGGCGAATGCGAGACGGGGTTGGAAAAGGAATTTCTGAATTTAAAGAATTTGGAGGCGGGAAAATGTTGGAGCGTATGCATTCGGCCTGGCGAAGTTTGCCCGCTACAACATTCCGCTGAAGAACACTTGAACTGTTGCTGATCGCGTTTTCAGTGAAGCTGTAGGAATTATAACAACCTAGGCGTATTTATTTTCAATAATATTTGGCACTTCGGTTGTAATAAAATTCAGGCCTCCTTTCTGCCTTCGAAGTTCAAAGGATTTTGCGTTCCGGAAGCGTCGGCTTTCTTCAAAGGGCGTCTGAATACGGATCGCAACTGATTTCAAGCCTTCGCGGCTAAGCCAGCCGAAAACCAGCCGAAAGCTGTTGCGACCTCGCAAAATGTTGGGCAAGATCATATTCCTACTGTACCTCGTCACGTTCCTTGTGTTTCCAAGTTTTTCCGCTGAACCGGTAGGTTGCTTAAAGTCAGCTAATCTTTTTTACGTGTTAGGCCCTTGATCGTCCTTCATCATCAGGATCATTTCGTAGTTAGTCGAAAAGACTCAAGTCCTTTCAGCCCCGCATACGCCGTCAAACATTCTGCTTCCTCCGTGGGCTACAGGATTGCGGGGGTGTTTGCATTCGGGAATACGAGGAATGTCACCCCGGTTGGCCGGCGCCTTGGCGCTAACCAGCGGCGAAACGGAATAAATTGATTAATTAGCCCATCGACATCATTTAACATTTTTCGGAATTGCGCCAAACACTGTAAAAATTCAAAATTTTTTTTTCGCAAAAACCAATGAAATTTCCAAAAAAGTACGATTTTGTAGCGCCGAAAGCCTGAGGCCAAGAAAAACCCGGGCGCTGCCAATCGAAAATCAATGATAAACCCTTTCGCTGCTTCAAAAATTTTTTGGCATCTATAAAACCCTTCCTGATCATATTAGTTTTCATCAAAAAAATGTTCGGAAAGGTGGTTTGCCTACTGTACGTTCTTGGGTTCGTGGAGGTCCCGATCTCAGCCATCGGCTGGCCAGGTCTATCGGTCGGTTTCAAAAATTAGTTATAACGATAGTAGAGATTATCTTTTTGCCGTAAATTAGAATGCCGAAACGCAGGATTCAAAATTAATTTTGTTGCAACTTCGGCGTGTTGACTGTCGAATTAATGTAATTACTAGAACAGGAAATCTCGACGAAGGTAAATTTCGACAAGGCTGTTTGCGACATCCTAATTTTCGACACTGTGATAGCAAATCCAAAAGTAGACGATTAAAGCGACCTCACAAACTCGACATTTTATACCTTTCAGCCGAGGCATTGCCCGGGGAAGGCGGATCCGTGCGGAATGAGGGCTGCCCGCACGGATTGGTGTGCCATTGCGGTGCTGGGAAGTCGGAGAATGGCATATGTATGAAGCCGGTGGGGAAAAGCATCTAAGATTTTACTGAATTTTACAATGAAAAACATATCGGGTATTTTAGAAAGAATGCGCCGGTGAACAGTGCGGATATGCCGGTTGCGGAGGAAGTGTGCGTGCATTGACGGGCGCTGGGAATGCATTGAGGAAGTACGGAAAATTTTCCAAGTGCCTTCAACGAAGAGGGAATGCATGGCTATGAATTTAATTTAGTAGAAATGGACTAAAGTATAGGAAGATGGAAGATCGTCACAAATTCGTCGTTTCGAGGGCGTTCGGAAAGTGTAACTAAAATTCCGATCCCAGCCTTCCGCGTCTAGCTAGCCCTGCAAAAAACCCTGCGACCCGAAAATATCAGTCCCGCAATAGCTAATATTTTGGAAGCCTCGCCGGGAATGTCTTGGTGAGGCTTGTGGGATTCACGGCTGTCCTGGTCGAGGCGCCTGCCTGTGCTCCGAAACGGGCCATTGGTACTGCAGCGGGGTATGGCCGCTAACCATTCAACTCTAACGCATCCCGGGTATAATAGAGCTTTCAGGAAATCCTGGGAAATGGTAGACCTTTTGAATGGTCTTTAAATTGATGAAAATAGCTCGTCGAGGCGTTCTACAACATTTAGAGGAAGGTTTGGGACGATGAACTTTCAGCCCCGCATCGGCCGCCAAGCGGACAGCATCGAGTGATTGTTGCGCGAGAAGAAGGATTCGGAGAATTTCATAAATTATATTCACAGCAATTTAAAATCCTACATTTTTAAAGGCGCACGGACAGTTAGTTGTTCTTCACAAAAATTCCAATTCAGCCCAAGATAATTGGGTTGCATGAAGCCAAAATTCAGCTTCCAATTTTTTTATAAAACAACTAGACCCACCAGAAATTAACTCTATTTTTCGGCTCTCGTCTTCAAAATCACAAGACGGAAAATCCGTGACAATCCTGAGGCGCGGTCCCAAATCTGGCACAAATGCCCTCGCAGCAAAAATATCCGACTTGGCAAGCTTCAGCTGCGTTTTGGGCGTTACAGCGATCGTACGGGTAGATGATTTGCTAAACGTTCACGTAAAACGCGTAAAATCCTAGTGTAAGTAAATAATTAACGGGGGAGGGTGAATGCTTCTAATTTTTTCTTCATGGCAGGCGGGCGGAATCATGCAAAAGTTGGGCCATCATGGGGCCTTGAGGTAGGCCTGGGGTGAAAAGCCGCCTCTTCAACCCTGGTCGAAATGGAAAATGTACCCGGTCGGGAATGCATTGGAAGCCGTTTGGCGGTAAACTTGAACAGGCATATCCGTAAGGGCAGGGCTGGACCACGCACTAAAACTTTTTGATATGATACGCTAGAATCTACTAGACTGCTTATTGATTAGTACGCAGCTCTCTCTCTTACTCACTCTCTCTCTCTCTCTCTCTCTCTCTCTCTCTCGCTCTTTCTCTTTATCTATCTTTTTCTCTCTGTCTCCCGCTCTCTCTCTCTCTCTCTCTCTCTCTCTCGCTCTTTCTATCTCTCTCTTGATCTCGCTTTCTCTATCTAGCTCTCTCTCTCTCTCTCTCTCTTTTTCTCGCAGAGTCGCTCAGTCGCTCTACCTCGTTCATTTCAGTAAAACCAACCAATCCGGCCGCTGGGACTTCGTCGTATTCCAAAACCTCAGCCACAACAAGGCAACAGAAGCTGAAGAAATAGGATTTGAAGCCCAAGTGCATTACGGTGAAACGCAGACTGTATGAACAAAAAACCGTGTTGCGCTGTTTTTGGCTCAGCTTAATTTATGGAAATCCTCCCTACCCGGCTTCACAAGTGGCTTTTCACTATTATGAAAACCGGGCGCAGCATTTCGGTGTACGTTCGATGGTTTTAAGGGGACTTGCAGAAGCATTCAGAGAAATAACAAAGAGGTTGTTCACCACAAGAGGAATTCGAGACCGGGCCAGAATGCGCAATTTTTCTGCTGTATTCGTATTTCAGCTCAATCAAACCGAATTTTAGCTGCCAAAAACTTCTTGCCATTTTCATAAAAATTGACCTCGAGCAACAGGTCGCCGTTGCAAAAGAAAATCGATAATAAGCGATCCGCTGCTTACAGGATTTCCGGTCATACAAAAGCGATGCGGTTTTTGCCAGCTTTTTCATTCGCAATGTTGACGAAGCTGGCTTTGCTGCTCTGCCTTCTGGACTGATGGCAATGCCGAACCCGGTATCGAGTTTAGCAAATTTTAACGTGACAGACGATTGGAAGTTCACATAATTTGTCCCACCAAAAATTTTTAAAAATGGCAGGGTGAAGCAATCCGGCTGCCTCAGACACTTCCCCCGGAAATGCACGGGTGAGCCTTGTGGAATAGCGGGTTGTTTTGACGGTGGTGCTTGCGTGTGCACTGAATTCGGCAGATGGACCTGTGGCAAGGTAGGTTTTTCCACTTGCACCTGGTTACAGTAGCCCCTGCCGATCGTAGCTTTTCCGAAAACTAGCGAGTTTTTGGAATGCGCTAATATTTAACATTGTATTGAAAATTATGTCAAAGCAAGGTAAAGGGAGATTAAAAATACGTGCCACCTTTCTAAAGTTTCTTCAACGTAAACGTATTTTTAGCCGCGTATGGGACAAAAGCCAGGAGGCGACGAGTGATTGCACCGCCTCGCAGAAGCGGGCAAAACGAATAAATATTATTATTTACAACCTAAATGCATTTTAATGTCAAACCCGACCTTGTTAGTATCGGCTATCCTACTATATATAAAAAAATAGTGTCTGTGTGTGTGTCCGTGCCACTTTGCATGCAACTTCCGTCATTCTGTCCGGAGGATATCTCGGAAGGGGAAGGTTTTTAAGGTATGCTTGATACGTCATTAGATGCGTAATGGCCTCGAGATGACTGCACATATAAAAGATTTTACAAAATCAGCTATTTACGACGTTCAATTTAAGTTTTTCTAAAATTTTCAGGGACTCTCTTTGTTAGGAATCAATTAACATACACCGGAAGTGGTAATCGCCCATATAAGGGGAGAGAGGACGTGGTTTTCATTTTTTTGTCATCTGAATTCGTGAAAATTATTTAAAGTGAAGAATTTCATGGGATCAGACGGGGCCAGGGTTGAAAAGTCGCGAAGCGGCTTTTCAACCCTGGTTTCTATTAATCTTCGTGAATCGGTGTTGCAAAGCTCACAGCAAGACACGAGAGACGCACGAATGTACTCACAGCAAAATAATTCATTGGGCAGTATTCGGCTGGGTTTTGTGCGTTTTATCTGTAGGGATCGTTTCTCTCTCCCCCTCTCTCTCTCGCTATCGCTCTTTCCCTCTCTCTCTCTCTCTCTCTCTCTCTCTCTCTCTCTCTCTCTCTCTCCCTCTCTCTATCTCTCTTTCTCTTTCGCTCTCTCTCGCTCACTCTGACTTATGCTGATAGTAGAGTAGTAGTATTAACACGGTTTTCCTAGCTGTTCGGCGTTGTGGAAACCAGGCGAACCCTTCCGTGGTCCTAAGGGCCTGAAAGGTAAATTTCCGGCAGAACTAGTATTTGACTCTCCGGTCCATTTAAAAGGTTTAAAATCTCAACGAAAGGGGCTTTTCGTTGGTCTTTTGGTAGCTGTACGTATCCAGTAGAATTCACAATGGACCACGTCAAAATCCCAACCGCCCCCGCTTCTCGCAAAACTTAGGATTTGAATTTTCAATGAACTGTCTGTCGCCTGGGACACAAAACTCTGAAGGATCAAAAGAATCTTCGTCATGAAAATTCAGCAGAAATCGGTTGCCCTTGCCTTTAAAAGCGGTGCTAGTTGTCGGGTATTCACTTCAAAATGCTGGCAAAGCTCGGCTTCCTGCTGTACGTTTTCGCATTCTTGTCGATGCCGGGATTGGCGCAAGCGGTGAGTTCGTAGAAATTCTTTCTCTAGGAGCTTGGATTGTGATTGTCGATCTAAAAAAGGCGTAGCTTTTTAGGGCTGCGATGGTCCGATCATCCGCAACGATCCAGAGTGCAACCCGGGCATGCCACCGCCATTCTAAATTCTCGACTCTAACCAGCAGGATTTAATAAACTTATGACAAAGTTGTAATTTGTCGGCTAACACAGAGTTTTCTGCCTCTCTCTCCCTCTCTTTCTGTTTCTCTCTCTCTCTCTCTCTCTCCTTTGTCCCCGTCATTGTCTCTCTTTACGATCTCCATCATCCATTTCTCTCGCAGTGAAAGCACTTCGCGCTCTGGCTTTCTTCGTACTTCTCTCTCTCTCTCTCTCTCTCTCTCTCTCTCACTCTCTCTCTCACTCGTTCTCGCTCTCTCTCTCTCTCTCCCTTTCCATCTAGCTCTCTTGCTCCCTTCCTTCTCCGTCTCGTGTATTGTACCGTACTGAACTGTCCACCCACACCCAAAACATTTATCCCATACGACACGACCGCGGGTACGGCAAAAGCCCGAAAAACCCATGTCATGGATAGAGGGGGACCTACAAAACATAGAGAGGGGCCAAGCACACAGTGCATACGAGATAGTGGGGGAATGGAGGAAGGGGGCAGGGTGCTAGGGTCGGGAGGCGTCCCGTGCGTTCCTAGGTAGCTCGGTGCGCATGTAGTCGAGTCTTCAGCAGAAGTCCCGACGCACCATGTCGACGTGGGCCAACCATCTACGCGAGCTGCCCGACGACCGAGCCCACAATCTCGTCGGCGGCGAAAAAGGCGTCTAAGAGTCAAAATCTCGTCGTCCAATGCCTCCCCACCATCGATCGACTGCACCCTGCCCTCGCGCACGATGCTCGACAACTTGTGCCCCATCTTGGCTCGAAAGAGCTGGTTGGCTGAAAAGGCTTAGGCGTAGGCATAGGCTTACGCTGATGCTGACACATACGATCAACACCCACCTGCAAGCTGCTGCAGCAACAATTGTTGTTTGCCGTCCTCACCGCCCAACAGTTCGAACGCCTCCTTCAGTTTGTTCCACAGGGCGAGTTTGCGCTGGTAAAACTCCTGGATCAGCTCCTCGTACGACAATTCGCCGAGCGCCTCCTCGGCCTTCGCGGCGAAGAATTTTTCTCGAGCTGCAAAGACAGCTACTTTTTAGGCCCTTTTTTGATTTTTGGACAGGTTCTTTCGTAGTTATTTTAGTAGTTTTTGTACATTTTCGTAGTCTAAAATGCCAATTCCAGTGTCAATTAAAAGCCATTAAAATGGTTTTTACTCTTTGAGTGACTTGCACTCATTTTCAGCAAAATTTCAAAATTTTTATCCATTTTATGTGCTTTCTCCTGTATAGAAATCGTGTCAAATCCTATAAGAACTTATTTGTTCTTTACTTGTCTGTGCGAAATTGTCACGCTCCCGCGTCCTTCCCCCCCCCCCGCTAACAGTCCTGTACCCCTTTTTGCCAAGAAACCAACCGTGCTCTCCGAGGTTCATCCACGGGCGGGCACCCTGGCTGAGCCCGAACAGCCTCTCGGCCAACGGCGCGGGGACGCGACGCGCTAAAAAAGAACAGTCAATGCGTCGAGTGTTGCACTGCGCACCTCCCAGCGACGGGTTCAGCACGGCGTCGATCGCCTCCTTCAACTCTTGCATCGCCTTCTCAAAATGCGGGCGATTCTCGGCGCATGGGGAGTGGGCAGCAATGGCTGCCCGAGTTCTTTCTGCGAGGGACAACCCCTAAAAATAGGTTAATTCTCTAAGATACGCGGGGCAACCAACTTCTTT